TATATATATATATATATATATATATAGGGGAGCGATCAAATGCAAACCACTCAATTTGTACAAACCGTGCAAACCACCCTCATCTGTCGATTTCATTGTTTAATCGTATGAAATTTTTTCATAAAATTGTTTTATATAATTTTTTTATGAAGTTGTTTCATATATGGTTATGAAATTGTTTCATATGATATTTAATGAAACTGTTTCATGTATTTCTCTAAAATTAAAATAATGAAGATCACAATATCCATGATTAACGCCCTCCACAATAAAAAATGATTAATCAACCTATCATAATTACAAAAAAATGAAAAATTATAATTAGTTGAATGAAGTTTGTACGGTTTGTAAATAACATGGTTTACAAAATAAACATCCTCTATATATTAATGATGAAACGAGAACATGGTACAAACAAGAGAACAAAAAAAAATGCTAAATCACATGTGATTATGTAACACGGTCACTGTAAAAGTTCACGGCCGACCTAGCCTGCAACCTCAAGTCGCAACCAAAATTGCATATGATTCATCTATTTTCATATTCTCTTGTATAATTAAAAGTTAACCCATATAATATTAAATATATCATGTACGTAGAGAAAATATATTCATGTACATAGTGAAATGTATGCATGAAGTGCTTATTTATATATAATAAATACCACCCTAGTCAGATATTAATCACATCTTTCATTCCTCCATTTGACTTTAGTAGTCAAACCAGCACTTCACCGGCGGCGTTCCGAAGTCCAGTGCGGCAAACCCCGACTGAAATACGACGCCACCACCCTGGAGTCCAGCAACTCCACTATTGGTGTGAAACTTACGCACCTTGGCACTTTATACTGGTTGATCGACGCCCCTCTTGATACTGCATAATCCATCACCTCTTCAAACGTACCATTTTTCACCACTCGGAGCTCCAACGCCCCGATCGAATTGCACTCAACCCGACCCTGTCTGTAAACCGAATTCAGAGACTCCTCCATTGCCAAGCAACACTTCTCCAGCACCTCACCTTTTGGATAATTCCTTGAATCCTTCACCAATAACTCCCAGTAAATCACATAATGACCCGGGATGGTTCGGGTATCCGCATAGCTTGTGTACTCGACCACGGTCGTGTTGAACTCGTTCAATAATTTCGATGCATTTTCAATGGCAGATTGGAGTTCGGATTCGTTGGTTTTGTCCGAATCGATGCTCAGCAGGACGTCTTTTCGTCTCACGAAATGGAACCGTGGGGCGGAGTTGTGGAACCCAGCGACACGGAGGATGTCACCCACGCGGTATCTGTAGAGACCTGCGTAGGTGGTGATCACAAGCTCGTATTCCTTCCCGATCTCCACATTCACTAGGTCGACCAATGAATCACTGGTCCGCTCTGAATGTGGATCGTGGGGAAGGAACTCGAAGTAGGCCATGTTTGGCATGATGGTGTACGAGACTTCGGATGGTTCGTGCAACGGGTTGAGGTTGAGGCCGAAATAACACTCGGAAGAAGCGTACATGGTGCAAACCTTCGGTAGGCCGCCGCTGTAATAATTGAGTGTTGGAATGTATTGAGCCATTGCACCGGTCACGATCACTTCTAGATATTTGACATTAGGCCAGATTCGGGTTACAATTCTTTCCCAATTCTGGTTTGAGCATTCAGATTCGATGATGTTTGCAAGATCCGGGTCACATCTAAGTATCCGGGTCATGCACCTTTGAATATCCGGATCTGAAATCTTATAATTAAGAGTACCGGTTCGGATATCATTGCAGAGTTCCTTCCAATTAAGTTGAAGGAATCGAATGGCTCGGAGGAGACCAGAGGCAAAAATGGCTCCAATCCGGAGTACGTTTTTGCGGTCATAAAGACCGCAAAGCATCTGAGAATACATGCTCTGGAAGGAGTCTGGGCAGAGAATGGCTTCTATTGGGCTGGTGTAGACGTTATACGGGTCATATGGTCGGGACTTGAAATGATCACTTTTGTAGTAGCTTGTGAGTACGGGTCGGGCCAGTAGTCCACCCGGAGTCTGCGTTTCGGATTTCACGAAAAGGAAGTATAGCCCTTTTCCCTTGTCCAAACCTGGCATGTACCTGTTTCAACGTAGTATTTAGCTATTATGGTATGCATTCATTCAGTACAACTGTAAATGCGTAAAGTACCATCTGTGAAGCAAAAACGACTCATTTTTTGATTCGAGAATCTTACAGATTCATTACAGGCATCAGAAGACTGTAAAGCAGTTGACGTCGATCCATATCTTCACGAATCGTCGGCATGAGCTTTCGTTCACCGGCAGAAGTACCGGAACTGTTAGAACAACGCGGATCTTATTGTCAGAACTCTGATTAATCAATAGAAACCATAAATTCAATTGAAATGGTGAAGAAAACTTGTGATCGGTAATTAACCTAGTGAGAAATTCAGAAATCGGATGAGCTGATAGAATGGGAGAACGATCACCATTGGCGATGCGTTGAATAAGAGGTTGAAGATCCTCATAAGTGACCATCGGAATCTTCGACTTGAAAGTTTCTTGATCGGTGGCTCCGTCGAGATTGTAAAGCTTGAGATACTCAGTCTTAGCGTTCCGGCTGAGTATCGCCGCCAAAACATTCGCCTGAACGGTGTCAGCGCTGCTCGTCATCTTCTCTATGAACTCAAGCGCCTTCGCATCTTTTTCGAACGCCAACAAATCCACAGGAGATCTCCGATCATCAGTCGCCATTTCGATTTCGCGTTTTGTGGTTAAATTAGACAGGATTTTGAGCTGAGAAAAAACGGATGGGAGGGTGGAGGTTTATATAGGGATTGTGAGTGGGGCCTATAACGGGTCACGTGACATGTCACGGGTGGACCACAAGGATATGGTCAGAGTAGAATCGTTTAGGTTACGTTTGGTTTGCAGGAATTGAATGAAATTGGGAGGATTTGGATTTAAAATCCATTCCAATCTTACGTTTGATTTGCCAAATTTTCAGGATTTAAAATCCCGATATTTCATTAAAATCCATTAAACATGAGATTTGGAAATCCTTTGCAAAGGGGTGGGATTTGAAATCCAAATCCTAAGCGCTTCCTCCCAGCGCTTCCTCCCGCTTCACTTCACCTCACTTCCCTCCCATCGCTTCCTCCTGCTTCATTTCAAATACAATCCAAATCCTGCAAACCAAACACAGGAATAGATTTTAAATCCAATCCAAATCTCTCCTGCAAACCAAACGCAACCTTAGAGGCGAGGGTAGGGAACGCGTCGGTCCGATTTATGTCACGTGACCCTAACCACACGGACCTTTAACCTTTTCATTGTGAAACTATTGCCGGTGGTGACGACGGTGCAAAACGTGGTATGTTGGAGCATTTCTACCATATTCTTAGAAACAGAAAAATGAAAATTTTTGTATAAAAAAATTATATAATTTTCTAATAAAAAAAAAGTAAAAAATTATATAATTCTTTAAAAAATCATTTTTTAGATAAATTTGATATTATATTCAATACGAATTTTAGTAAATTAAATAAAATGCGGGGTATTATTGTCCCAATTCTAGGAGTATTTATCAATTTGATTGCTAAAAATATTATATATTTTAAAACATTAATTAATTAATTAATAATGACTTAAAAATTAATTTAATTAAGGAAACATCGTTGTCCAGAATATTGTTAATAGAAAGTGTAGAAAAGATGGTTTTGTTTGATGATAAGCATTAATAAATGCTAAATATGAGTTAGATAATTTTAAAACATAGACAACTTAATAACGTGGCAAAACATAATTGACGAGAATTTCGATTTCGGTTGGTAAAACTTACACACGTTAATGACAAGGAAAACGACAGCGGTTGGAACCAAAAGTTAGCAAAAAGGTCATCACTTTTTTCAATTTTTGTAACCAAATATATATATAGATTTGAGTTTACGTAAGAACAACATGTTTTTGTAAAACCCATAAAATCATTTTTTTTACATTTGGAGTTTCATAGCAAAATACTGTGAATGTAACTTTTACATTTTTTTTATGTGAAAGTTTGGCTTTTTTTACCTTCATAGCGTTTTGCTGTGAAGTTTCAAGTGTAAAAAAATGGTTTCACGAGTCTCACAAAAACATGTTGATCTCACATGAACCCAACCCAATATATATATATATATATATATATATATATATATATATATATATATAGGGGCTCATTCAAGGAATAACTGACTATTTTGTGGTAATCGTGAGATTCAATTTTAACCACAAATCAATAGATAAATTAGAAAATTTATAATTTTGGTAATTTTGAATTAATATTTTATTGCAATGACATTTTAGGTATTTTCTCTACTTTCTCCGTCCCCCATCCTTCGGTGATACCACTGTGATATCTAAAAATATTGACTCTGTTAAACAAAAGACACAGTGTGATACCCAAACACATATAAGATGCATTGTGATACCACTGTGTTACATCTCCGATCGACCATACAAACGACCTCAGTGTGATACTCAAGCATATATAAGATGCATCCGGAGGACGCAAGACGGGGGACAAAGAGAGGAGAGATGAGAGTTTTAAAATACCTAAAATGTTCTAGCATTAAAATTTTAATTCTGAATTAACAATATTATAAATTTCCTAATCTATCTATTGATTTGTGATTGAGATTGGACCTCATAGTTATCCCAAACTAATTAGTTCTTATTTGATTAGGCCCTTTTATATATATATATATATATATATATATATATATATATATATATATATAATATAGTTTAATGTTAAATCTGAATATTTTTACTTCTTTCAAAAAATTAGATGTCCTCTTATCAGTTTTTTTTCTAGAGTTGCATACGGACTATTAAAAAAACCTAATTTAATCAAGCAGTATGAAAAAAGTTTCAACTGTTATAATATAATACAGTGACGGATTTAAGAATTATTTTGAACGAGTGTACATTTAAGGTTCATCAAATAGTTGCAAAATTGGCGTTGACGTAGGGGGGAAGTCAACACGATTTGACCCGATAAAAAATTAATTATGTCAATTTGACCAATAAAACACATTCCTCTAAATGAAATCGATGCGCAAGACGGAAGATTATATCTTGCGCTCAATGTGTTTTTAGCTGAATTTCATCATTACAAAACACCTTTTTGGTTGATTTCCAAAACTTTTCTAATTTCTAGGATTCAATTTTGATTGTCGTTTCTCTTTCTTTTTCTGAATTTTCAATTTTGCTTTTTTTATGCATCTAGGACATCTACTATTAAATTATTTGGAGCAAAACCAGAATTTAGGGTAGATAAGACAAATCAGTAATGAAATTAAAGCAATTTAGAACAAATAAATAAATTGTAACACATAATATGCTTGGGAAATGCGAATTAGATAACAGAATGAACGATTCCTCGTGAATGATGATTAAAGAATAAAACTGGGAACAAAAACCCATTGTCTATATAATCTATATTAAATAATTTGGACTAATCCCTTCAGTTTCAAAATATTTACTCTGACCTCTTGAAAGTTGAAACCTTATCCAAGATGCAATAACCATGTTGACCAATCCAAATTCTTGACATCAATTTGGTTTCTAAATAATTAATGGCAAGGTCGTAATTAAGCGAGTGCACTCTTTCAACGTCACATTTTTTCCTCTTGCGATAATCGAGTGAGCGGATGTATAGGATGTTGTTGAAGCCTTACTAGGTTCGCCTCTGATATAACAAGGTGTAGATTGAAACAAAACTAACAGTCAAAGATTGGTGAGAATGGGTAATAGTCTTGGTCCGGTTCGGTCGAGAAAAGTTCTGGTCTATGTGGGGTGTTTGTTTTGGTCTATTAGGCGCCTTCAAAATAAACATCTATACTTTTGTCAATCAAAATATAAGGTTGGCTTGCCAAAAATATGGTTACACGAAATTTGTGGTCAAAAGGCACCAAAATTAATATATATATATATATATATATATATATATATATATTTAAAAAAATAAAAAAATCATTAATATATATATATATATATATATATATATACACATACATACATATTTACATATACACATATATACATACATTTATACTTAGTAAAAGTCTTAAAGTCTTAAAATTCTAAATGACTAAAATACCCTTTATACTTATTTTTTCATTTTTTCACCCCTCCTCTCCTCACATACACTCACCATCTCACAACCGATTTTTTTAAAATTGTAATTTTAAATTTATACTTTATACCCTTTTAATTAATTAATTAATTTACTTTACGTCATTTACTTTTAAATGTTTCATTTTAAACCTTTATCAAATTAACATACATAATCGTATATCAATTAAAACATGTTTAAAAAATACATTTTTATTTTAACAAGTTACACCATTATAATCGTCTCGTCAATACCTTCAAAATGAGTCCAATATTGAATAGTTTTTGACT